GAACGAGAGAAGTCTTAAGACACAGGGAAACAATTTTTATGAAGAACTCAGAACCTAATCTTGTCATTATAGTGAGAACCTAATCTTGTCATTATAGTGGTCAAAATGGGCACTCAATTCAGTGATGCGTGTGGCCTGACACAACAGAGTCAGTTTGGGTGTTTCAGCCATAAGTTGAGCTATGTATTTCCCAACTGGACACAAGAGGATGTGTTGGAAAGCTAAGAGGTAGAGATACAACTTTTATGAAGAACATAAGACATTATATTGCCATTTTAGTGGTCAAAATGGACAATCATTTCGGATATACAGGTAAGATAGCATAACAGAACCAATTTTGGTATTTAAATCATAAGTTGAGCTACAAGTATTGGAATTAGACATAAGAATATGTTTTGGAAAGCTAAGAAATAGAGGAAAGCTAAGAGAAATAGAGCTACAACTATCATGAAGAAGTTAGAAATAGATGGGTAAGTATAAAGGGTTGAAAAATGATGTCCAAATCCCACTTAAGAACATATTAACATTAAAAGTTCATCACTTTAACCAAAAACACCAAATAGTTCCCAAAGTACATTCAAAAACCTTAAAAATTAAAAACAACTTAAACAAGTGAAGAGGGGAAAGAGAATATGATTTGCAGCTAACACTATATTCACAAAAGCTTGAAATATAGGCTTGGAAAGCCTTACTGACCCTTGGCTTTTCTCTTTAACCTTTTTGAGGATGGGTTCTGCAAACCTCGATTCAGTAATGAGAAAAGTCATACAATTGATAATCAATTTGACCAAAAAGAAATAGTTGGAGCATGATTTAATGCCATCAATACATGTCTGACCCATGAATTGTCTAGAACTTTATTTAATTCACAATACTCAAAACACAACTTTACTTGCTTCAATTGGTAATAGTTCAGGCCACGAGGTTCGGGTTCTAAATCGGAACCGAACGCGAACACCCGAACTGTACTGTAGACGGACCAGAACCGGCCGGTTCAAGGGCCGGTTAAGGTTCATGTGAATCTAAAATATGAAACCGGGAACCCGGCGGTTTAACCAGCGGTTTCGGTCGGTTCGAACCGGCATGCACAAGAAAAATTGTAAGCGTTAAAAATTTTTATAAAAAACATTTTATTACTATTTGAATTGATTGTAGTTGATTGATTTATGGTGAAGAGAAGTATAATGGAACTATAAGTTATAAAAAGTGGTGAAAAAAATACAACAATTTATTTTGTGACTTAAATTTATACATGTATGACTAGGTTTGGATTTATAAAAAAAAAAACTTTCAAGTGGTATAAAAAAGAGTGTAAGAATAGTTTTTTGATATAGATAGGTGTTTTTTTATTTATTTTTGGTTAAAATAATGTTATTCCATTGTCCAGTTTTTTAATCATTTATTTATTTATTTAAGCTATTATCGCGCAAAAATATAAGTTGTTATTTTTTTTATTCATAAGGGAAAATTTGGGAAAACTAATAAATGAGAAACATGTATAATATATGATGGAGTTGATGGATTTTTTTATTTACACAGCCAACTTATATATAGCTCTCTTATTCCTCAATCCAACAATTCTTGAAAAATGTTCCATATTTGATTATGTTCTATTGCTCTTATATTTTTTCGTAATATTGGGGATTGATCTATTGTGTTTTTTTTGTTGTTTCTTAACATTTATTCCAAATTCTTTTCTCTAATCTCAAATTTTTTTTCTCATTTCATAATTTACTTACATAATGATTTAGATTATCTTTACCTATTTTGTTAGTATCTTTGGAAATAATAATTTCCAACTCATTTCATTAATTTTATATTCCCATTTATAGCTCTTCTTATTAGTGAAATCTTAGCAAAATTTGGTAAATTTAATAAGTAATAATAGTTTCCTAAGTTAGTTATAGAGAGTTAGTTTATACTTTTAAAATTTTATAGGCGATATAATTTTATTTAGTTAATAAAATTTTTTAAACATTTTTACAAATTATCTATTTATTTAATGAATTCCGGAATCAAAATTTTATTATTTTTTTTTAAAAATTGCGCAATAGCGGAACCGATATCGGGAAACCCGGAATTCGAAACCGGTCGGGTTCGCAACAGACCGTGCCGAAACCGAGGACCAGCCCGAAACTGCGGAGTTCAAACCGATGGGTCGATTCTGGTTCAAAATTTGGTAAACCATTTCGAAACAACCGGTTTACAGAGGTGAATCCGGGAACCGCGTTTTCACGTTGCAACGGGCACAATGGGCCTAATGGTAAACTTCATTCCTTTTTTGAGTTTTAATCACAATCTGAACTTCTGAGCTACTTAATTTTAAGAATTAAGGCTATTGTCATGGTTTAATTAAGGTAGCTGTCAGTAATTGGAGGTAAAGAAAATGAAGAATAATGAAGGAAAGAAGGAAGAAGAATGGAATGAGCGTTGGAGAAGGAGAAGAGAAAGAAAGAGAAAGTGGTTTACTTTAGGTGGTGATAATTTAAGGTGACAAGTCAAAATTTTTAACTCATCCTCATTTAATGCCAAATTTGTAGCTAAGATCAAAAAGTCCTAAGTGAATGCTCAAAATGGCTGTCTATAATATTGCATCAAATAATGTCTCTTCTACTTTATTATATTAACTCCACCAATAATGTAATTAACTCAGCACTAAAAATAATTCTCATTTATTTCGTTAATATACCACATTAGACAATATTATTTAAATACATAACCTCTCCAATAATATTCATGGAAATATTTTCCTACACCCGCCTAAATCATTGCAAAACATGCCCAAAAAATCATGTAATAAAAGATATTAAGCCTAAATCATGCAAACATGCTCCAAAAATAGTAAATAAAATATTAAATATGCATAGTAATTTTTCCGGACTAAAATAATACCAAGTTCCGGACTGATGGTACTATTCACAGACCGGTAAATCACTATTATCGACACTAAAAGAAAATCAGATTGTTACATCTATAATTTATTTAACAAAAAAGCGTAAAAATTTACAACAAAACTAAAAATATAAGGAGGGACTGTCACAAGAGACAAGAATCAGCCCATTTCCGTATCTACATGCTTGACTTTGTGTTTTAATTGAAAGAAGGGAAGAAAATCTTAATGGCGAAAGAGAGAGAGAGAGGGGGCGGCGGTTACAACTCTATGCCCACACTTTTTTTTCTACCACTTATATACATTTTCTTTTTAGTTTTATATGTACAACTTTTATTATTTATTATTTGTCTATATTTATATATTTATGCAGGAATAACATTTTGGAGTAATTTAATTATTTTCACCTTATTTTTTGTTTTTGGCAAAACAAAATGGTTTGGAAAAAAAAATATAGTTTAAAATTTGGATATTATGCTATCAAAAAAATTACATAAAATTATAATCCATTTAGATATCTTAAATTTGACATGATAAAAGAGGAGGTACAAAAAAATATCAATTTGACATCTAAAATTATTATGAAATAACAAATTTGGATATGAAAATTTTAGTCAATACAAAAATTACTGGACCTTAAATATCTGATTTTTAAATTTAAAAATTAATAATTCTAAAAGAATTAATACTTTTAATTACTAATGAAACTTTACTAAAATACTTTTAATTACCGCGCGCATTACAACTAGACCAATTAAAATAAATTTCCGATTTATTTTCATCGGCGTATTAGATAATATGTATACTTAATCATCATATCTTATCAATTAAAAAATTTTATCAACTGAAAAAAGTTGCAAATTCCCTTTTATGTATAGATTTAGTGCACTATTATTTTAATCTATTCAAATAAAATAAATAAGAGATAATAGTATATAAAAATATATTTTGAATCTCAAATATTATTATTAATAATTAAAATTTAAAACTTTAGTTTAAATTTTAATTTTATTTAAAATATTTTCAATTATTTTTATTTAAAAATAAAAAATTTTCAAAATAATAATATAATTCAATAATAATATTAATTTAAAAAAATATATAAATATTCGTATGCGAAATGCCAATAAGGCCTAGTTATGATATAATTTAGAGCCCCTTGTGTATTTTAACAAATAAACCCTATAAGTTTAATAGAGTTCTAGTTAGTAGATTTTGGATGAAATACATAAATATACCTCTGTACTTTACAGAAAAAACCTTATGGTACCCGTAAATTTTGCGAGTGACCTATTATGTATCTAAAGTTACGAGTTTTGCTACTATCATATCACTCTTTATACTGTTTAAGTCCGCCGTCAAATCCCAGGACTCAACTCTCGATAGGCGATGGAAACTGCCAAGCTGGAGTACAGTAGGGGCAGAAGGAATTTTCAGTGGAGTGGTGAAATGCGTGGAGATCGGAAAGAATACCAACGGCGAAAGCACTCTGCTGGGCCGACACTGACTACTAATTTTTTTTTATATTTTTGGTATTTATGTGCAAAATATTCACTTAACATATGGTTAGTATAATTTTTTAAAATAATAATTTTCATATTTTTTTAACTATCTAATAAATATTTAATTGATTTAATTTTAGAAACTTAAATATTTAATAGAATAATTTTTAAAAGTTAATATTAATACAATTTTATAAATTGAAATGTTCAACTCATTAGAAATAAAAGTTAAGGTGACACGGTTTTTTTTTTTTTTTTTTTTTTTTTTTTTTTTTTTTAACCTAGAGGTATATGTTATGGAAATTTAATGCAATTAGGCAGTAGATTTTTGTTTCTAAAGGGAAGAGGAAATGGTCATTTCCAGGTGTGACCAACACTAGTACCCGCGAAACGAGGAGAGATGAGGTCCTTGAATCTGCATTTAAGGGCGCGATCGTTTTCTATTATTCTCTGGCTCGGTACCATCTTCGCTTGCCTCCGCCTTTTTTTTTTTTTTTTTTTTAACCTAAGGTATAGTTATGAATTTATGCATTAGGCAGTAGATTTTGTTCTAAAGGGGAGAGGACAATTCGGTCATTCCAGGTGTGACCAACACTATAACCCGCAAACGAGGAGAGATGAGTCCCTGAACATGGCATTTAACCGATTCGTTTTCTATTATTCCTCGGCCTCGGTTAACCATCTTCCCTTGCCTCCGCTTCGCATTCTTTCGAAGTCTACATTGCCTTTCCTGATCTACCCTCATAAATTATCCAAATTTTCCAAGCTGCCACTTTCATCCCATAACCCTGCAATAATCACTAGGACTCTGTGTCTATCATCACCATTATCATCCATGGAATCTTCTCCAGAAGGTTATAGAAGAAATGTGGGTATTTGCCTGATCAATCCATCTAAAAAGGTAATTTTATATCTTATTTGTATATTATATGTGTGTATTGAATATAAAAATTCTCAATTTTTTTTGGATCTGTCGACTGTGCAGATATTTGCTGCTTCAAGGCTGGATATACCAAATGCCTGGCAAATGCCTCAGGTGATCTTAAAATTTCTCTTCTCTCATGGATTTGATTGTTTTCATTTGGTTTCTGTTCTTGTCATTTTTATCAATTTGAAGTCATCTTCGGCTTTAGATGAACAAGAAAACTAAAGATTATGAAATTCTGAAGCTTTGAGAAGTTAGAAGGAGTTGTACTGGGCAGTTTAATGCTCAAAAGCATTTGGAAAGCGCTTTGGCCTATTGCCTAGAAGTAAATATTGTGCAACACATCCAATTTGGAAAATTTATTAGTAGTTGGTTTCTGCTGTTTCATTTTGAAGGGGAAGCTGACCCTTTTTTATCTATTTGATTTGATTTTAAACATTAGATTATGATTCTTGTTGCTTAAAATTTAAGAAAAACACAAATTAGTGCTGGCGTTCTCCTTTTCGTGAATTATTTTGATTGAATATCTGAAAATTAGAAGGACTTCAACAATGATTCCTTGCTGCTTTCCAGCAGAGCTATGGTTTGAAGCAAGCCTTGTTAGTATTAGTTTCCTTTGGTTGTATAACATTCTTAAAGTTCACACTTTCTTTCCAGAAGTTGTAGTTCTTTTTTCAAGATGTTAATGGTGCTTCATACAACTATATGATACAGGGAGGTATAGATGAGAGCGAAGATCCTAAAACTGCAGCCATCAGGGAATTAAAAGAGGAGACTGGGATTAGCTCAGCAGAAGTTCTCGCGGAGGTTTGCTTTGCATTTCTTCTTTACTTTTTTCAGCTTTTCAGAAGTTCAAAAAATTCTGTTGTACTATGGGAAGAGTGGGAAAGGAAGGATGATTTTAAAGGAAGATTTTATTTCAAGAAAATTATGTAGCAGTTCACAGTTCTCGCATAATGTGATACCATTGATTGACTGTAACAACCTGAGTTCTATCCAGCTCACAAAAATTTCCATTTTACAGTTTGTAAATGATTTTTTTTTTATTTACTTTTTGATATTTTCACCAAATATCTACAAATTATTTTTCCCAAATTTTTTCATTATCTGTTCTGTACTTTTGCCTTGCCCTTCATATTATTCTCAAATGGCTTTATTCTTTAGAGGAAGACTATACAAATAACATTATATCTCTAAGTAGCAAGAAATTCATCCAAATAGCTTTATTTCTAGTTACAAGTTATATGTGCTGCTTTGGTCTTTCCTACAGATCCAACTTAATCAATCATGCTATTTTCGTATGCCTTTTTTTCTCACTGTTTCCTTGTATTCCTTAATTTCAGCTACTACGGAACTTGTATTAGTTTTGATTGGTCATACTAAAATAAATTTTCATAGTATTGTTCAATGTTATGTAGTTTCCCATGGATAAACAAATAAGAAATCATGAATTCTTTGTCCCATGGTTAATACAATTTTAATTTGACTTGATTTAATTTTTAGCATCACTAGAGTAAATTATCTCTTCTATGCTAAACAGAGCTCTCAACCTCTCTATTTTTGCATATGTATATGGATGTATGTGTTTTTGGTTGCTATCTAAACAATACCAGAATTATCGGTGCTTTTTCTGGGTCACTTAAAGATTTTTGTGTTTAATTTGCATCTATGTTTAACTCTTATATTATTATTCTGTCCAAGTCACAATAGGTGGCTAAAAATTCTTGTCAAGTATTACTGTCTCATTTCATCCACTGAATTTATTGTGCAGGCGCCTACTTGGTTGACTTATGACTTCCCACCTGAAGTTAGGGAAAAGCTGAAGCAACAATGGGGATCTGACTGGAAGGGTCAAGCTCAGAAGTGGTAAGTATATGGATATAACCCATATGTAATAAGATCCATGAAGCAATATCTACACTTGATAGAGTTAAGTTTGATGAAATTAAGACAAGTCTTGACATAATTAATTTGATCTCCTTAAATTTATGATACAACTTTAGCCCATATTCAAATTAAAGAAAAAAAATTATGTCTAAAATATACATTCTGATTAGTCTATTAAACTTGCAAATTTAAACACAGGTTTCTTCTTAAATTCATTGGGAATGAGGAAGAGATCAATCTTTTGGGTGATGGCACTGAAAAACCTGAATTCGGCGAGTGGTCATGGATGTCACCAGAACAAATACTTGATCTTGTGGGTATATGTCTCTTTTTTTTTGAATGCATGTGGCTATTTGAAATCAAGTGTTCATATGAGCTTGAACTCTGCATGACCTCGCCCTTCTTATGGGGAGAGGTTGAAGAAATCAAGTTCTCGTATGAATTAAGGTTCTCCCATAGCTCTTCGTTGGAATTTATTTTTATATGCAATAATTTCAACCATTGGATTTGAGAAGATTTAAGTTGCTTGTGAGATAGAAACCTAAAAAGTAATTGGTAATTTGATATTTTTAAATTGAACAATTGATTTGAATAAAAAGAATCCAAAACTTGAAAACTATAACTTACATAAGCTCAAGGTATCAACAGCTGTTCGTTTTAGGCCTTGTTTGTTTCATGGAAAATAACTTATCACTGGAAAATATTTTCTCAAGAAATGCTTTCCTTGGACAACATTTTCCGAGAACTCATTTTCTTTCTTTTTTTTTTTATTGTAATATCAAAATTTTTTAGAAGATATTAAAACTTTCATGTTATAGACTATACAAATGTTTAAACTAAAAAATTTCATTTGTATTGATTTTATTATTAAGTATGAGAAAAAATATATAAAAAAAAGTTTTAAATTATGGTGGTTGATGGTGGTTGTGTTGGTTGGCAAGGATAGTAATGATAACCGTTAGTAAAGGTAGATTTCTAGATGTATGTTTATATGCTTTCCTTTCATTATAGTGTGTTTTTCAAGGTTCGGGAAATGAAATAACTTCCTCTTCTGGAAAAGGAGAAGAGCTTGTTTTTCCTTTGACCCATAAATTATCTTCCACTTGATCCATAAGTTATCTTCCACAAATCAATTTTCCTGGATAACGCTAGAAAATATATGAAAAAAAAGCTTGTAGATAAATATTGTATGCGGAACAAATGAAGCCTCCGTGTATTATTTTTTAAAGGACTGTCAGGTGAGGTGCAGGTCCCTTCATATATCTCTATCTCAGAGCTAGTTAAATATTATTGTAATTTTTTTGGGCTAGTTAGGACTTAATTAATTCTTGGGTGAAAGTTTTGCTTTTCTAAAATTAGTAAACTAGTTAGAAGTTATATTTAAGTAGCTTAAATGTTTGAATGGTGTTATCAAACATAGTTATTGAAGGCGTGCCTTACTTAAGGTCCAATGGCTTGCGCCTCGACAATACTCTTACAAGTGACCTCACTCAGGCCATTGCCTCTAGGTAGAGGTGTGTGCCCTTCTGTGCTCTTCTGTGCTTTAGGCTCAACAAAGCACGCCTTTCTATTTTATTTTTTGGAACAAGTTACCTAGGGTTGTCTTTTAATATAAAACTATCAAGCTAGCATATCTTTACCTAAATAAATAAATAAAGAAATAGAATGCAGCGCCAAAACCAGGGATGTGCTTTGTGATCCAGCCTTCTCCATCTAGTACTCACCTCTTGCAATCCAGTCTTTAGCCAATAGCCATTCTCAGATATGCCTCTCTCAATTTTCTTCTTATATTTGCTTTTTGTTGTCTACTTTTTATTTGGGAAAATTATAATCTAGTCCCTATATTTTGTGTTAAAAGAAACTACTTTGTCTCTCTCTTTTTAAGAGTAGACTACTTTACCTCTATTTTGCTACTAGTATACTAGTTTTCCTTCTATCCATTTTTGTACCTTTAATGTTAAATATCTAATGTAAAGACAAAAAGTCCCTTTCTTAACAAACCACTTGTATCAAAATAACTATTAACAAGAAGAAAAGCCACATTGAGCTATAGAATGAATCCGCACTAACACAATCAAGAAAACATTGACAAGAATTGATTAACTCAAATCTCAAACAGCAACTTCATCATAGACTATTAACAAGAAGAAAAATTAACATTGTGCAACTGTTTCTCTGTGAGAAAATCAAACCCAAAAAAATTCAACAACGAGTTCAGTTATTTCTCAAGATCATATGGATCGCTGAACAATAAGTTTTGAAAGTTAAAAACAAAAATATTCTTTCCTAGTGAATGCTAAAATCAATTAGAATTGAAATACTGGAAAATCGTCTTATTTATCAGATAGACTAAGGAATTGTTACTGAAACTAATTATGGATATTATATGTTAAATATTATTATTATAAATATTTGAATTAAGTAACAAGTAAAAAATCACCATTTCTTTTACATTACAAAAAAGGAATTGTTACAAAAATGTGTTAATAAAATAAAATCCTTAATTAAAGAAAAAAATTAAAAACCAAAAAAGAAAAATCTTCAATTTGGGTTTTTGGATAAAATAGAATTACTAAAAATAAAACAAATTAAGCTAAAAAACAACAATCGCAATAGGCAATGACAATAGATATGAAGAAGATGGTGGTGTTAGTGAAAAAGCAAAAAATCCCAAATACCACATACAGAGGAGATAAGCAGATTAACAAAAAAAAATAAAAATAAAAATAAAAGACAACTGCTTTTTGACTAAACTCTTTGAACCCTGCCATTTTTATAGCCTCCAAGAAAATTGATCTCCTTGAAATCTCTTTCGAGTAAATTTCTTCATGGATTGCATCTGGATAGTAGAGTTTTGCTAGACTTCAATGTGGTTTTTCAAAGAGATGGAGAGAGTAACGAGAGATAGAGAGAGGATTCGTCAATTAAGGGTTTAGAAAATAGGAAAGGAAATAGAAGAAAAGCCAAAAAGAATGGAAAGGGATTTTTTTTTTTTTTTTGAAGGGTATTTTAGTTATAAAATTTGTCTCTCACTCTTGAGCAAGGTTTTGTGGTTTGACAAACAGACAAACTTCAAAAAAAAAAAAAAAAAAAAAAAAAAAAGAGAGGATTTCGTCAAGTTAAGTGGTTTATTGATAAATTAGGAAGTGTAAATACGGGAGAGATAAGCCAAAAATGAATGGGAAAGTGGATTTTTCTTTTTTTTTTTTGAAAGGGGTAATTGTTATGTTATACATTTGGTCTCAGTCTTGAGCAATGGTGTTTGTGGTGTTGTGACAATACAGACAACTTAAGAAAAAAAAAAAAAGAATAAGAAAAAAAGTAAGAAAAACGGAATGAACGGGAAGTACAAAGTGGTACAAGGGTTGCAAAACCGAGGTGATATATATGTGCCCTCATCTTAGTGAAGAGGAAACAAAGTTGGTTATTTTTTGACAAATTACAGGGACATAATTATTAATTTTCTATTTGTATTTTTTTTCATAAATGTCTTGATTCTAGGTGCTTATTTGTATCTGGTAACTTCGCAAAAAAAAAAAAAAAAAAAAAAAAAAAAAAGAAAAAACGGAAATGAACGGAAGAACAAAGTGGTACAAGGGTTGCAAAACCGAGGGATAAATAGTCTATTCTTAGAAGAAGAGGAACAAAGTTGTTATTTTTGACAAATACAGGGACAAGATTATAATTTTCTATTTGTATTTTTTCATATTCTTGATTCTAGTCTTTTGTATCTTAACTCCAATATCTTAAAATATAAGTCGTCATGTTGCCAATTTTTTTTTTTCTGATTTACGTGTGTGTTTTTCCATGTTTTTCTTTTTCTTTTTTCTTTTTTCTTTTTTCTAAAACATAATTTCAGATTTTTTTTTTATTTTATTTCTTTATGTTTGCACCTCACCTCGCTCAAGCACGTGTCTTCGCCTGAAGGCTAGTGCCTAGGCTCCAGTAACTTTAGTGAACCTTGCACCTTTAACCACTATGTTATCAAACACTACCTTACTCTAATACAAATTAATTCATTATAATTGTTAAACAATTGAATTACATAGGTTTAAGTTGCAGCTATTGCTCAGACAATATTTGTTTTTTAGAAAGTTTCGGTCTGTTAGGCTGTTTTTTTTAAGTAGCAACTATCACAATTGCACCCCTGGCTCTCCATTGCTGTCAGTCCCAAGTTAGGGTGCACATTGATGGAGGGCCAAGATCATATTTCGTGCGGTCACTGAACACTAGAAACTTTTATTCAGTCCCATGTTCAAAATTTGGATTTATATGGACTCAATTTCTTCCTTGGCCTTCTCTTGGAGTTTATATGGACTTAAGTTTTACTTGACAGGTCTCCCAACAAGATATTTGATAATTTTTTGTGTTCAATTGCTATATTATGATTTCTTTTCTCTCTCCATTCTGTTTATTGCAGGCTGTAGATTTCAAGAAACCTGTTTACAAGGAAGTTTTGGCAGTTTTTGCTCCTTATCTTGAGTAAACTTGTGCGGACATGTTGACTGTCTCTTAAGTCATGATGTTTGGCATCATAGCTCTTGGATGCATGTAGAATATTTCCTAAGGATCTGTCATTGCTGAAGGAATCAGAGGTTTACTTCTATCCCAACGTAGGCTATATGCTTATGTTGGTGATATTTTTGTAAGAAATCTGCAATCTGTTTAGCTTCACCTGTGCTTAATGATCTCACTGACCATAACCAGGGAAATCAATGTAGTAAATATTTTTGGTATGGATGTCAAGGCAAGTTCTGTAGTGTAGAATTTGAAATGTACATTTCATGCAATATACCAAACAATGTCATTTCCTTCATTGATTTGCTTTACTGCAGACGAAATTTCTATTACTCTGTTTTGGAAGTCAACTGTAAAGATGATAAGTTGGGTTCTGGTATGCAAGAGTTTGGGGTGTGTTTGGTATGGTAGTTTGAGTTGCTATTGGGAAAAAACATTTTATTAGAAATATTAATTAGAGGTTGTTAAAGTTTATTTTTAAAGTGATTTGCAAGAAAAAGAAGCTGCTTTGAGATTTCCAGCAAGTTTCAAGTTCGAATTTGTATTTCCAAGTGAAATTGTACAAGGACTAGGAGGGGTTATAGGAAGGACTTGTTAATAGGGTTATTAGGCTTAACAATTTTCATTCAAGCCCCAAACTTCTGAGGGTAGAATGTAAGGTCAGACTAAGAATTAAATGTCAATGCAAGATCAATCAGTGAAATGCGGAGTTTTTCCACGAAAAAACAGGTGTTTCGAAATTTAATGAAATATAGACAGAGACAGGATTTGCTCAATCAAGTAATTCAATCAATAATTCATGATATGCCTGAAGTCTTTGTTGTACAAGCAGCAAATTGCAGGAGTTCAAATCATTTTATCAAGAACATTATGTATATGGTCTGTGACAATACCCGCAACAACCTCGGGAGAAAACCTTCTAATCATGTCTTCCCTTGTCCGCCTGCCTTTAGTTTTGGCTTCCTCGACATTAGTCATCACTCGCCTCATCAAAAGCTGAAGCTTATCAAAGAAAGGTTTTGCCCAGGATGCCCCCTTTGAGAGGTCCTTCCATAACTTGAGTCATTCTATCCACAGGCAATGGATAGCTATTCGCCTTGGTCAGATATTCTATCGACCATGACCAATTTGGGGCAATGACTGGCAAAGAAATAGACATACCCTCCACAAGAGGCCTCCCTCACCCTTTGTTAGGATTTCTAGTTAGGGATCGGGTCACAGGACGATGGTCAGAAAAATCTAAATCTATTAGCTTTGACTTCCCTTTGCTCTTGTTTGGATTCTTAGGTCGACCTATTTTGAATATTAATTCAGTTCGATAAAGGGAGATTGAAACTTTAGAGTTCGATGGAAGACAACTCCGATCTCTTGTTTTTGGTTGAATTATGACTTATGTTTTATTACTGCAACTGCCCCATAAATAGGCAAGGCTTCTTACAAAAATAGAAGTCATATTTTGTGGGATTCCTAATAAAAGTAAACTTCCTAACGAGAATAAAATTCCTAATGAAAATAAACTACCCAAACAGCAGTTTTTTTGAAAAAGGAAATAACTACCAGCTAAGGAAATTAACCCAACCCAGCCCACGAATGCATCAACAACACCCTTCCCCTCTTGATGAAAGAACGAATGCATTGGCTGCCTTGTACATTCTTGGCAAATCAATTTGACCTACGTGGGCATGAATCACATAAATAGAAGGCCACCCATTTTCTAGTTTTTCTAGGATATCAGAATCCTCAACACCACAGTCTTGTTCCCAAAATCTCTATCCCAATGATATGGATTTGTTAACAAATGCAAAGCAACACCATCAATCACAGAAAATTCTTCGAAAAGCTTTCAGCAACACATCCCATCCTTTCCTATACTCCCACTTAAACACACTCAAAAACACAAATTCCTTCTTAGAATTTCTTGTGCCTAAAAATCGGATTTCCCACTGAAGCAAGAACTAATGGCTTATATTTAAATGGATCAAAGAAGTCAACTTCAATAGGCTGAACTAAATTGACGACCTTGGATTGATCAACCCCACTCTGTACAAATGTAGATACATGAAACTTAGAAGGAAGCCAAACATCATCCATTCAATTACACTGCCTTACATGTTCAGCGTTCACTCCATCACTCTCAAACATGGTTCTACCAATTATAGACATAAAATCTTTTTAACCAGTTGGTGGACAAGGAAAGGTTTCAAACAATGGAGGGTACCAAGCACAAGGCTCACTATGACATATCACAGTGGTCTCATTCATTTTACACTCCATTCTATGAAGTTTAAATGCCAAGTTCCTAATATGAAGGGGCAAACCTACCCAGAACTCCAAAGATTCTAACTCCCCATATTGCTCGATTTTTAATCGAAATCTTGATTCTTTCATATGTTCATTAAGGACTAAAATATAAGATCAAGCTTCTGAGCTATACCCACCACGTGAAAGGAAGGGACCATTCATAAAACACAGTAGGACCGGAATATAAATTAGATTTGGTGTTAGGGTTTTAGTAGGTTTCTTAAGAAGATGAAAAAGCCTTAGAAATTTGAGAAGAAAAGAGGGGTGTGAAGTGAGAATTATTGATTTTATGCGGTTGGTTTAGTGAAACTAAATGAGATTGCTAAAAATAGAAATAAAATTGAAGATAAGTAAAATAGAAAGGATCTTGCTTTTATTGTTTGATTGGGTTGTGGATGGTTATGGCAACGAGAATCCATATTACAACAGATTTTAGATGCAATATTAAAATGTATAAAACCACAATTCATCACCTTCATCATCTATACTCATTATTCTCTCACTCTTGCAACATAGGATACTACCCGATGACATAATGAATGGTTTCTTTAGCATTGATGAATGGTTTCTTTAGCATTGTGGACCTTTCCTACAAAGCCGAAGCTAAATTAGCCATAGCGTCTGGAACCTTATTGTTCACACAACTTGTATTAGTAAAAGTCACTTTTTTGAAGTTCTAAATTATAATATGCATATAGTCAATGTAGCATGCTCGATTACTAGCTTTAAATCACCAAGTACTTCCATGTCTTCTGCTTTAACAACAATTAAAGCTTCTAACCCAAATAAATAGGCTTCATATTTTACCATGTTATTAGCAACTGCAAACCGTAGCTTCTTGAGAATCGAAATCGGGATAACCTCAACTTATGGGGATTCCAATACAACGCCTACCTAGGCCGTTTGTGTGGGCTGATCCACCTAATTAAGCTTCTATCTTTTCTTTTCTATTATACATAGATGTTCATACGAGAAATCAATCTCCCACTATTCAATGTCTTTTACTGGATGTGCTGCTAAGAAGTTAGTGACCGCTCTTTATTTGATGGTTTTCTTTGTAGCGTACTCGATACTTAATTTAACAATATGATTAGCCATATTGCAAGTTTCCCACAAGTGCTGGAGTTCCATGTAAGTACTTGACTGTCTGATTTTTTTTTTTAATAACTTGAGGATTTGAGCACATAATATAGACAATTTTAAAATAAACCTACTGATATATTGGAGTTTTTTCAAAAATTTTCGAAATTACTTTACTGTCTTAGGTGACTCCATCTCTTGAATTGCTTTGATCTTATTTGGATTTACTTCCGTTCCTTTTGGTCCAAAAATGAACCCTAGTACTTTCCTTGAAGTTACCCTGAATACAAACTTCTTCAGGTGCAACCTTAGTGTAACGTCCTAATTTTTCTGAATTATGAATAGTAACTTATTGGGTTGTGAATAATAACACTCGATAGGGAATTGGTATTTTTTCGACTTGAAAATATTATTTTTCATAATTAATATTTTTAGAATTTATTTTGATCCATGCATTCATAGTTTTGATGGGTAGAAATTAAGTTATAATTTTATTAATAGAAACTAAGTAATTAATGAATAGTGTTTTTAGAAATTAGAAAAATTGGAGATTAATATTATTGAATGAGTTTAGTAAGTTGTGTGGCGTTAAATGTAATTTATAGAAGATTTTAGAGGATTGGATCTTAGCCCTTGGATCTTGGAAAAGAGAATTGATCTTGGCCATTGATTCAACAACTTCATGTAGAAGTAGTTGAATATTTACAAAAATGTCACCTCACATTTTCCTAATGAATTATTCATGTTTGCTATGGTTAATTTAAAACATATAATTCAATTGAATTCTACATAATCATGTATGAAATAAATTCATAATTAAAAAATCATTTATTTTTGTTTTCTAAAATATCCTTGAAATAAAATTAAAAAAATAAAAAGAAAATATTTTCTAAAAAAATAAAAATTTTAAATGATTTTGGTCAAATTTGATAAAATAAATAAGTAAAATAAGTAAAATAATTGAAAAATTCACTTTATAGAAGGAGAATGGTACTTTTGTCATAAAAAGTTGGGTTGCTTAGTTTTGTTGAATTCATTTGGAAGCTCTACCTATTTCTGTGGGATTTAGTGTAGCTATGTTTAATTCCATGGAATTGAATTTTTAGAATTGAAATCTATATTTTTTTTTTCCTTTCAAACACAAAAATGTGGATTTCTAAATGAATTTCATAAAAATTTATAGACTTCATTTGTTTCAAACGAGGGATTAATCTTCAAAGTTAATTGCTTAGTTTCAATTTGAGCGAGTCAAATCAAGAGAGTTCTTATAGAAAAATGCAAAGAAAAAGAGGAGAAAATAAAAGAGGAGAAATAACAAGATAAGAAAAAGAAAGAAAAAAGAAGAGAAGGTGAAATTATTATTTCAAGGATATTTTAGAAAATGAAAATAAATTATTTTTCAATTATGAATTTATTCATACATGATTATGTGGAATTCGATTGAATTATATGTTTTGAATTAACTATAGCAAACATGAATAATTCATTCACAAATGAATGAGCGATATTCAAATAGAGAGTATTTATAGAAAAATGCAAAAGAAAAAGAGGAAGAAAATAAAGAGGGAGAAATGACCACACGAATAAGATAGAAGGAAAAGAGCAGAAGAAGAAGAGTAAAGAATGAGTATTTATAGTTTCTAAATAGTAGGATGATTTGACAAGGAATGAAAATAAATTATTTTTCAATTAGAATTTATTCCACTTACAGATAATGTGGATATCGATTGATTAATATGTTTTGTATATTAACATAGCGCAGCAAAAGCATTGAATATATCAACAATGAATTAATCCTAAGAATTCATGCTCCTAAGAAGTTGAGCAATGAATATCACTATTATTTGGAATTGCAGAGCATCGAACCTCTTGACGCGCTCAATTATTATTTCAAGGATATTTTAGAAAATGAAAATAAATTATTTTTCAATTATGAATTTATTCATACATGATTATGTGGAATTCGATTGAATTATATGTTTTGAATTAACTATAGCAAACATGAATAATTCATTCACAAATGAATTATCCTAGAATTCATTTACAAATGAATTCCATATTTTGAATTCATTTATACCATCACCGCACCTTCGGGAAGCTAATCAACAATATTCTCAGCAGCCATGAGTTACGAGAAGGAGGAATAAAAGAGTATGGAGAGGGAAGAAGGTTCTTTTCAAAGTTTATGTAGAAATGTTACTTTCACCTTTTATATAACTAAAAGGCTTTGAGCCCAACTTTGGTCCATGGCCCAAAATGGATTGAGGTCCACTTGCTGCAACCAGCTCTTATACTTAGCCAGCAATCCACTAATGGCTCACCGACCAAGCAGGGGCATTACCACTGGCCATAGGTAATTCCCATCCTAACATGTAAGATTACCTCATTTTCCGTGCCATGGCACTTGTAACACCTTGATTTCTGGATCTGTGAGTGATAGCTTGATAGATTGATAGTTAGTACCAAATTAGGATTTTGCTACTATTTTAAATCTTGAAGGGTTACTTGTTAATTGATTATGTTTTAATGTGTGAATCATGCATTGCATATAGGGTTTCCATTAATTGGATATTTGAATTAAATTATGATTTCAATTGTTAATTTTAGATTGATTTGAATTATGTTTTGAAATTGGGAAAAAACTATTGGTTTTGGCTGATTTTGATTGGTTTTGACTGATTTTGATTGATTTTGACTAAAGGCTTTCAATTAAATGATTTTAACCTATTTAAATTGATTTTAACTTATTTTAATTATAACAAAGTAAATTTTTAATTGCAAAGCCAATTTTGCATGGGCTAAGGGTCTACTTTGTAATTAATAAATAAATATATAAAATAAAATAAAAGTTAAACCTAAAATACATAAGTCGTAGCCTCCCTTTTGTTTTTCAAGCGCCCACTTTTCTCTTTTTCTCTCAAAGTGACCGAAGCCTCTCTCCCCATTCTCTCTATTAATTTTCTTTGATTCTAACAAAACACTAAAAAAAACAAGACTTAATTATTGAGTGGGGTTTCAATTAAAGGAGATTTTAACATTCAATTGGTGTTCTCCACAAGAATAGGCTTCAAAACCTGTAAGTGTCTGTAATGGATTTACTTTCCATTTTTAAAATTAAAAGTTGCATTCATGGTTATTGATCAGGCAGATTAAGAATAGTCATGAGTTACATTATTTTGATGGTTATTTTTGTTAATTGATTTAGAGAAGCTTGAACCTTCAAAGAGTGTGAAAGGCAAAAAAAAAGGCTTAATTGGATGCAATTGAGCTTTGAATCGCACAATCAAAGGTTAGTGCTTAACAAATATATGAATGTTTTCTTTGGTTTTGCACAATTTGCAACCAAGGGTTTATGTAATTGAATTGGGGGTTTTTATGAATTTGATTGTATTGATTGAATTTCCTTATGTGAATGTAATATGTAATGTTCCTTGAGTGTCTCTACTCTTATTTAGCATGTTTGAAAGTGGTTTTAAGTGCTAATGTTTGTTTCTTGAGAGCAATAATTGATTTGGCACGTTTAAAGGCTTTAAAAGAGTGAAATCTCGTAATTGGAAAACCCAGATTACACAGCCGTGTTGCATGACACACCCAGGCCATGTAGTCTATTGACTTGCGAAATGTGGCCTGCTGACACGACCATGTCATAGAACACGGCCTGGTCTTGGATTCCATTGTATCTCACTATGTAACTTTGTATTTTTTACCTTCTAATGATGACTAAACACCCTAGATGCATGCCCAATATGTCTTTGATATGGTTCTCTTTAGACTCTTCTCTAATTGAGATTAAAACATCATATAAAAAAAAAAGAATAAGATATGAACATGTTTAATTGATTTTAATTGGAAATTTTTACCTAATTATACTTATCAATATGACCTGAGGGTTAAATGTAAGTTTGGATGAGGCAATTGAGTTAATCAGGATTTAGTATTGGATTACGAAATCAAATTTTGGAATTTGGTTAATTGTTTAGGGTTTGATGAAATTGATTGTTCTAATGTTCTATTAATGTCAAATGATATGCATTGCATGACTACATGATGGAATGAACTTACCTAGTCTACTTTATATAATAGGCCAATCCTATGCTAAGATATTTGTTTGATTTTTATATGTTATGAGCTAAGGTATTTTATTATATGATGCCTAATGAAATATAAATGTATTGAATAATATTGTCATGATTAGGGTTTATGGTTGCACATTAAT